GCGGCCGGGGTGACGGCGGCCCCCCCGAGCATGGTCATCCTCTACCTGCAGGCGGCGGATGGCCATGATGGGCTGCCGGCAGAGCGGGCAGGAGGCAGCGACGGCGGGGGCCACCCAGCGCTGGATGCAGGCATGGCAGAATACATGCCTGCACGGGTCCACGCTAGCGGGGTGATCAAGGGGATACAAGCAGACGGGGCAGGTGTCCCCACCGCGGGGAGATCCTGGCCGTTCCTGGTGTTGCCAGCTCATGCCTGGATGCCTGCAGTCCTGCCGCTGGGACACGTTTTTTTTTGTGCTGTTGGCAGGACTCAATGGCTTGGGTGGTGCCCACAGGCCTCAACGTCTCGTGTGCCACTGGCAGTGCGGCCGGCATGTACTGCTGCTCAGCACAAGCGATGTCATGGTGTGACTGTGACTCTCTGGTGACATCACAGGGCTCTCAGGGGCACAACCGGTACATTTAGACTGGATATAAGGAAGAAATTTTTTACCATGAGGGTGGTGAAACACTGGCGCAGGTTTCCCAGAGAAGTGGGAGGTGCCCCATTCCTGGAAACTCTCAAGGCCACGTTAGACAGAGCTCTAAGCAACCTGATCTACTTAAAGATGTCACTGCTCATTGCAGGGGGGTTGCGCTAGATGACCTTTAAGGTCCCTTCCAACTCAAAGCATTCCATGATTCTATGAAGAAGGAGACAGGCTTTTCACAGTAGTGCAGGATGAGGAGCAATGAGAATACATTGAAACGAGAGTTTCACAGTGGGTGTGAGAGAAATTTCTTCCCCTTGAACACTGTCAAGCAGCGGGACATGTTGCCCAGGGCGATCGTGGAGTCTGCATCCTTGGAGGCTTTCAGTGCCTGACTGGGTCAAGCCCTGAGCAACCTGGCTGACCCCTTTCTTTGAGCAAGATGTTGGACCGGAGACCTCCAGAGGTCCCTTCCCTCATGAGTTACTCTATGATCCTCTAGTGAGGTTTCCTTTTTTGCTGTGCGTTCTAGTTATGAGATAAGGTGCTGCACCTGATATGGAGCACAGATGATACAACTCTTCCTAAGGAAAGTTTTCTAGCTGTAGCCATTTCTCTCTTCTGAGGTGATCTTCAGTTAGGCTAGTAGACTTCTCACAACGCATGCCAAAATTATCACTGTAAGCCCATCAGAATCACCATTCTGTCAACACCAGAATCTCTTAGAATGTTTCTGCCCTCAGCAGCTCTTCCATGCCTGCCTTACCAACAGGTTTGGGACCTGCTGGATTATCCCAGACTCTGTTTCTCTGAAGCAGAGAACCTCAGCAGACTTTCTTTGTCTTGCTTTTTATTTTCAGCTTGGGTCAGAGTCAGGCTGCCCAACTACGTGTTTGTTTTCAGGTCTGCAGCACAGAGGGAAGACTACTAAAACACATTTCTAAATAATTCTAGATTTTTTCAAGCAGGAAGTCTAAGCCTGGACTCTCCCCATCAATATACTTAGGTGTTTTAAAAGTAGTGCCTGGTGGAAATGACCCTGCTGGCAGCGCTATTCAGATCCAGCCAGCTGAGATACAAAATGGAATGACTTCTGTTTGTACCTTCCGTCTTACAACCAGTGTATCTGTTTGGTTTGATTTGTTTTTTTTTCTCCTACTCCACCCTTCAGCTTCCCTCACATAAACACTCTCCTTCTTCCTGTGTCCCAGCCACACTGGGCAACTGTCATCTGCTGGGGGGATAATGGGATAACCTGGGCAAAGCAAAAGCAGAGACTACAAAACATCTGTTAATTAGGCTCTAGGGCATATTTAATCCCTTTTGCTTTGACAGATGTTGGACCAGATTTCTCTAATGGGCATCAGTAGCCTTAAATGGCAATAGCCACATTGGTACCTGGCACTGTCTTACAGCGAGAGCTGCTGAGGAAGGAACGGGCTTAAGAACCGTTTTGAGAAATCTCAGGACACCACTTTAGATCGGAGATTTTATTTCTTGCTGTGATGGCAGCAGAGAACGGTAAAGTCTCAAACAGGCACTTTCAGAGTGATGAGGAAGGGCAGAGAAAGCAGCAAAGGCAGAGGGCCCTCTGCGGATCGGTGTTCGGTGCCGAGGGCACGAGAGGCGTCATGGCTTGAAGTGTTCTCCCCCTCCAGCAAGAGTCCTTCCCATCTCACTACTTCTCCTCGAGGAAGGTGCACACCTGGAGGAGATCTGGAAAGGGAAAGGACAGAGAGAAGTTCAGATCCTGCCTTTAAACACTCCCATCCCACCAGCACACACCCAGCCATGCCAACAACAGCATCGCATGGAAAATACATTCAATGTGCCACAAAAACTGTGTGTTAACCACAGATCGCACTGAACACACACTGACAGGACAGAGTGGGTTCTCTTTACTGTTTCTCAAAGTGCGTATTTTCAAAAAGTGACTAAAAATCTTCGATTCCCATTGATGCCAGAGCAGCAGACTTCAAGACTGTTTTCAGTTCATCCAAGGAACTTTGAGAAAAGTATACTGGCACCTTCCTGAGTTATCCTCATTTTGCTTTAAAAAATTCAAAGGACAGCTACAGAAGAAACTGCCTGCGAGGTGAAGAACTGCAGTTCACAGGCTTCCTCCTGGGGCTGCTATAGTTACCTGATGGATTGCAGGTATTGAGGCTAGCAACTGAAGCAAGGTACTGACTTCCAAGGAATTCCTTGTATGTTATTTTGTCACGGAGTTTGGTCAGACACTTGGTCAAGTCTTTAAACAGAAGGTCCTTGGTTTCAGACTCAAACATCTGGAACTTGTCTTTCTCAATTCCTTTTGTTCCAAACAGTTTCTGAAATAAAGGCACAAAGAGGTAAATGTATGTAAAAAGTAGAAAGCTGGCAAGATTCAGCTCGTATAAGCCTAGCTCTTAGTCCTAGTTCTTCACCATCATCCTGGGGAGCCCACAGCCAAGCCCCAGAAATTTAGGATTGAATCTTCTGTCCATGTGGTTAGATGAAGGCTCAGTGGGCAGGCACAGTTGTGGCACGACTGTCAAAGCAATTGTTTTCCATTTTAACATGCCACTGCATGCAGAGCCCATCTGCAGATGCTGCCAGCAAGTCCTATGCCATAGCCATGAGTTGAAAGCAAAAGGAGCTGACTTCCCAAGTGCCTCTCAGCAGACCCTGATGGTGGAGCAAATATTAATGTTTTCAGTGTAAAATCAAACAGAGCTGGTTTAACCTGGTTACATTTACACCCATAGCTGTAAGACTGTGTGTGCAGAGAGGGTGCTGTCTTCTCAGGGCTCTGCCTGTCCCAGCTGGGTTAGAGACCAGGCACCCCAGAGCAGCTTCTGAAACACAGCTGCAAGAGCACAGACCGAGAAGGAGGTGATGATCTCATGTCACACAAGCATAGTGTGACAATAGCAACCACTACAATCCGACTGTTGCCTAAAGGTGTATTTGCTAAGGTGGCAGAGGAGAAAGAGCAGTTCGGAAGGGATGGAGGAAGGGGGATATGAAAGGACAAGGCTGTCACCCCATATCAGTAAGTAAGTATCTTCCACATTTAGCTAACTCAGGGAAACTCTGAGCATCATCGCTCTAAAAATGCAAACATGCCACGTGAAAACAACCCCAGAACATTTGTTCCGCTGCCGGTACTACTTACCTCTTGTCTCTCCAGGAACTCGCGGACTTTGTTTGCTTTATCGGGACGCGTGACCACAGCATGGGTAGGAACTTTGGCCAGGTGGCAGCCCCTGTAAGCCATAATATTTGCCCGTCGCCCATCAGTGCACAGCAACTCAAATTGGTCCATTTTCAGATTTTTGGCCCATTCTTCTTTACTTTTGCCTTTAAAGAGAATTGGTTTGGAGATTCAGAGATCTTGTGTAGCAGAAGAACACCACCTAAGCCAGGCATTTGTCCCTGCCTTGTGTGTGCACTAGCATTTGGAGACTCAGCATGTACAAAGGGGCCTGTAAGTAAAACTCAGGAACAGTCAATGGGATGAATCAGACTCTCCTTCCTTGCACTTTTTCCCAAATGCTTGGAAAACTTCATCCGCTGCTTTCAGAAATGTGAACTGAACTTTTAATTTTCAGGCAAGCGGGGAGCTGGAGTGCTCTGCAAGGGTGCTTGGGCAGGACTCTGTAGCTAAGGGACCACCCAAATAATTGTGCAGCTGAAATTAAATAATTTCAGGCAGGGCGGTGTCTCAGCAGAAATGCCTGGGAAGACCCAGCCTGGGCGGACAGCACATGTCGACGCTTGAATTCTGCTCTTCCTGCGGGAGAGGTGAGATTGACAGGACGAGCAGGTAAAGCTTGCTATTACCTTCTGCACTGTGAACAAAAATAATGCAGATAGGGGAAGGCAGCCCTGCCAAGATGAATGCAACCAAATAACCACGTACCATCGGTGTTTTCCTCGACGATTGAATGCTTAATAAAGGCCACATCCCCCCGCTCCACCAGACACCTGGGAAGTACAAAGCAAGGCAAGTGATGTGGGTGCTGGAATCCTGGCCCTTTCCCGCGGATTTGATTCTGACCTATGTCTTATTTTGTAAAATTAATCTCCGAGGACAGCCAGGTCTAGGAGCCCTGCCACGAATGTTTTAAGGATATCTGACACACAGTCTTTTAACACAGTCTAGAAAAAACCCCACATCCTTCTCACATGATAAGTAGCTGATGTATTTTATTGTCAGGAAGAAGCAGTGTGGCCAGGTTCAGAATTTGCTTTGCTTTCTGCAATGCCTGCCTGCACATGTTAATAGCTTTGTAAAAACACTAACTTGCACCAAAAGGACTGCAAACTCTGAAGCAGGGTCTCTTTGCTATTAGATGTAAATGAAACAAGATTTATTCCCTGTTTAAATTCATGCCCAATATGAATTACTTAGATTTGAGCTGATACTGGGCGGGTACAGAGGAGATAGCACTCGGGCTGACCTCTGGTCTCTGCACGTTTTAGAGCACAGCTCATTTTAACTAAGGCAAGCAGCATTTTTAACGGGGAGTGTCTAGTGGCAGCACGGTTTGTGAGTCCCTGTCTTTTAACACTGCTTATTCGTGTTCAAAATGCAGCACTGCTGCCGCTGTAGGGGGTCTGGCCAAAATGCTTGTGTCTCTAAGTTTGCTTGGAGGCACCAGGACATTAATTTTACAGAACGGGAATGTTTGCTTGTGTCTCTAAGTTTGCTTGGAGGCACCAGGACATTAATTTTACAGAATGGGAATGTTTTGCTTCATTTTGCAGAAAGCCATATGAAGAAAAAATGTATAGCA